TTCTTCTCACAACCAACACCATTCAACTTAGTGTCCTACATGATCAAGTCAAAGACAATTCTCTCTCTTCACGTCCAACATCACCAATCCTATGCCCAACATTAAGAGACTAGGAATCCTCGACTTCGAGCTATGCCTAGTGCCATGAAGGTGTGCCTGAGGTGATGACAATTTTTGCACTTAGGCAAAAACTTGATTTGCCCAATCCACCAAAAATGCAACCAAAAAGCAACATGCAACAAGTAACTCAACATTTATGCAATATATGTAACTCGAAAACAAGTCCAAAAACAACACGAAACCCAAGATTTTTCCTATAATTACAATCCACTTATAAACACCTCCAAGACCCAAAACTCAAACAAAACATAGTCTCATGGAATTCAACCCAAATGGCTAACATTAATGAGAATGAACAACAACAACTAACACAATCCAACACTGATCAAAACACAAAGCTCCATTTATCTCTAAAGGTCGAAATCAAAGGAAGTGAAAGAAAACTCGAAGTCCCTGAGTTGTCGTACGACTTCCACCAACTCAAATTCTCAGCTTTGGGTGCCTTGAATCTTCAACTTAGCCAAGCAGATCAGTTACAGGAAAGGAAGAAATGAAGGATCATTTCCTTGAATATACAAAACTAAAATTATTACTAAAAAAATAATCATTTCCAAAATATTGAATATACAAAACTGAAATAAAAATTTGTGTAAAAAAAACTTTGTTTGATTAAAAAAAGGCTAAAATAAGATTTTGGCCCCTTATTTATATTTGACATTTTAATTTGATCTTTTAAGTTTAAAAAGCTTGACTTTAGCCTCTTAAAACATCTTTTATTAGTCAAATTGGTCATTTCTAAACTTTTTATACTAACTGTGTTAATTTTAGATGCCATGATATCTTCACATATTGTCACGTGTCACTAAATTGAAGGAAGGACCAACTTAATCTAACAAAATTATTTATGAGACCAAATTGAAACTTAAAATAAAATTAAGAGATCAAAGGTATATTTAAACTAATTTTTTTTTTAAAAAAAAGAAGTTGTGATAGATTATAGAACAAGAAAGACAAAATAAAACTTTTGTTTGATAAATAAAAAAGACTAAAATAAAATTTTGGCCCCCTTATTTCTATTCGACTTTTCAATTCGACCTTTAAGTTTAAAAAGTTTTACTTTAACCTCTTAAAACGTCTTTATTAGTGAAATTGGTTAGCTCTTAAATTTTTACATTAATAATATTAATTTTAGATGTCATGATATCCTCACAGATTATCACGTGAAAGATCAACTTAATTTAACAAAATTATTTATGTGATCAAATTAAAACTTAAAATAAAATTAAGACATCAAAATTTTATTTAAACTAGAAAAAAAAAGTTATGATAGGTCATAGAACAAGAAAGTCAAAAACAAATAAATATAATACATCCCACGTATTTTCATTTTTAATGCATTAAATTTAAAAATAACAAAGTTATTACTTTGAAATAAAAATGAGTTTGACTTTTATTTGAAAAACACACATGCAATGTATTCTATTGTACAAGTGCAAGAAGCCTTTCCACACGCAATACACTGTATTTTTGTTTCAACATTAGTAGATGTCTACTTCTTTTCCATCAAAATCACGAGAAAAGTTAATGTGGAGAGAGAAAAACTGTAAACTAAAATGAAGTAAAGTAGAATTGAAACGTGATCAAATACTCCGACCAAACTTACTTGAATTGTTGACGCAAGGCTGCTAGAGGGTGAAAGCGAAATATATGAATGATTACGACATTCTTCATATGTTTCGTTTTGGATCAGAAAACGCCTAACCTTAAAACATAGAAAAAATATGTTTTTAGTTTTCATAAAACGAGTGACTTTAATGTTAGCCTTTTGTAAAAAGAATATTTTATAGAATTTAATATTATTGTTTTTATAGTACTCTAAAGTGATATTTATTAGCTTTTTAAATATGTGTCTGATTTGTAATTATCACAACTTTAAAGACATTAACATTGTAAGAGTGTAATGCAGGATCAGTTATTCTTGCTAATGTCTATAGTGGTATTTTAGTATATAACATCTATTAAAAAAATATATTTTTAAAATAAATATTATTTATCTATCTAAAAATAAATGTCAAGAGTAAAAAAATAAGGATTTTGGATTCGAAATAAATGAAAATCAATAGAAACAAAAACTATTTTATTTGAATGAGAAATAATAATTTAAAATTTTAGAATGATATAATAAAAATACATAGACAAAAATCATTTTATATGAATTAGGAGGGGAAAGAGACACTTTATACCTTAAGATATTTAATTTTGAAGGATTTTTGGAGGAGATGGTCGTAAAAGAAAAAAAAATTGAAATTCGAGATTTGAGAGTAAGTAATCATATAAATTAATAAAAATAGGTAGTTATTTTTTATATGAACAGAGTGATTTTAAAACTCATGAAAAAAAATTATAAAATGTGTGGTATGAATTAGGGGTAAAAATGTCTAATAAAAAATAGAAACCAAATGAAAGTTATTGAAAGCGGTATCCTTTTATATGTTACCAGTAAAGAAAAAATGTCTTTTGTGTTTTTTAAATTTTTTTTTAATTTAAAAAAATTAAAGAAAAATAATTTAAAAGTAGTTATCGATGTTATTTAAGAGAGATTTTTTTTTTCTTGGGAATTAATGATTTATTAAAAATGGAAATAAAAAACAGGTGCACCATTTTATCTCTTTTATAGTATGTATTAACATATAATAGGCACAAAATTGTACATATTTTAAAATAAAAGAATAAGTTGTTTGAATCAGTGTCACTTCCACAACTCCTCATGGTTGCCTCCACTTTCTCCAAAAGAAAAATAATAAATAAAAATACAAAATAGTGAGTAATATGAGAATAGTTATGAGATAAAAATAACAAAGAAATATATACAACAAACTATATCGCTTATATATATATA